TTTTTTTTTTTTTTTTCTGTCGATAGTTCAAACTGTTAATCGATGCGTGAGTGTTACGATAAGTACTCTTTGTCACTACGAAATGTATATCGTGTTATTTGTTTATCAAAATACTGAATTATTTCTTTTAATTAGTATCAATCTCAGTTTCCTGCTGTTTGGTATCAAGCAACACGCCAAGGAATGGAAGCAAGTCCTCGGTCATTATCTTCTGGTCCAAACTGTTCATGAAATGAACAACCTATATTTGATAATCGAGAATTTCCGAAGCGAGGTCGAACTTGTCATCACTGGTTTAGATCGTTTCACATCTGTCATGCAAGCGATCTCTGATATAAAGAAGACAGCAATTCAAGCAGAAGTTCGCTACACAACCTGCCAGGTTTGTCTTAGAAAAATGCCAGTAGGAAATTGTTAATGTACAAGAATAAGTTTTCGTTGTAACGAAATAAAATAATAATAATAATTGTCTAACAAAAAAAAAATTTAAAGAAAGAGAGGAGATCAAAGTTTCAAATATAAAAAAAAATTAGTATGAAAAATTCTTAGATAATTATCGAATTTTTATTCATTTGAACACATTTGTCTCTTAATATATAAACTTATGATGATAATCATGCAAGTTTAAAATAATGGACTTGGATAGATTGTAAAGTAATGTGTTTCTTCTTTATTCTTATCAAGGTGTACTTTGATCATAAATGGAATTCGATCAAATTAATCTTTGAAAATCAATATACAACAATAGAATCGTCGATTAGAACTATTTATATTTTATAGAAACATCTCTCATTTGTTAAATTCGAATGCTTTAATTTTTGAATTATAAATCAATTTAAGGAGGATCTTCTGATAAGAAAATGTCCGATACTTCATACAACCAGTGATGTATATTTAAACATACAGTGCAATACATATATAAAATATATTATGGCAGTATATAAATATAATTAATAATAATTAAGTCAATGAATAATTCAAATTAATAGCCTCAAGATTACTCGACTTAATTTTCAGGAGACCTTTCGAACTCTGCGCAGTCACGATATAACTTTTCCCGAAGAGGACGAGCAAATGGCTTATAATTTGCAACGTGATTGGGAGTCTTTGTATCTGGGCGCTCTGTACAGGGCTTCGACTTTGGCAAGTACTTCCGATAGATTTTCTGACATGACGCAAGAGCAAATAAACGAATTCGTGAAGGAACTCGAACAATTTGCAACGGACTTCGAGGTCAACGGCCCTGGCAGTGTAGGGGAGAATCTCGAACGCGGACTGGTCAAAATGGACGTAAGTTTCCAAAATTCAACACCTATCTATCTTTTTATTTTTCATTCCAGTTTTGTACGAACTGCGAGAAGAAAGAAAGAAAGAAAGAAAGGAAATTTCACGAATGAATTTAATAACTGTCAAAGTTTAATACGTCCTTTTCTATTTTTCGTTCACATTTCCAGTTCTCTACGAGCTGCGGAAAGAAAGAAAGAAAGGAAATTTCATGTTCACGAATGGATTTAATACCTATTTTAATACTTTCAAAGTTTAACACGTCCCTTTTTATTTTTCATTGAAATTTTCAATTTCATACGAATTAAGAGAAGGAAGAATAATAATCGCTTTCACGAATGGATTTAATACTCTCAATACTACTTCACTATTCTTCAAGTTTAATGTACTCCTTTCTACTCTTCATTGAAATTCTCACTACAATTCTCTTTTACGAATTTTAAAGAAAGAAAGAGAGAAAGTAAATTTCACAATGTTTCCAAGTGGATTTAATATTAAATATTAAAATATTAAAAGTATTAATACCTATCTTTCTTTCTCATTTCTCATTAAAGTCCCCTATGTTGTACGAGTCAAACTACACAAATGCAAAATTCAATTTTACAATACCGTTCAATGGATTTGTATTTTAATGTTTTAATACTCTACTATTTTAAAAGTTTAATGTTTATCTTTCCAATTTCCCACTGGAACTCTTTTTATTTCTTCTTTCTTCTTCTTCTTTTTTTTTTTTTGCAAATAAAATGTCTATCCTGAAATCCGGCAGGAATACGGGAAGCTGATCGCGAAATACGAGGAACGACGTCTGAACCTGGTCAAGTCCGAGATACTGTTCGATCTTCCAGCGACTGATTACTCGGTCTTCTTGAAAATCAAGAGAGACTACGAGGGGATGCGGATGTTGTTCGAACTGTACAAGGAACAAAGGGACATGAGGACCGTGTGGGCGCAGACACTCTGGGTGAACCTGGATCCTCAACAACTGATCGACGGGATGGATCACTTTATCAGAGAGTTTCGCAAACTGCCGAGATTCGTGAAGGAACTGAGCGTTGGACAGGCTTTGGACGCGAACATGAAAAGCTTCAAGAATTCTGTGCCGCTGTTTATCGAGTTGAAAAACGAAGCGATGAGGGAGAGACACTGGAAGCAACTGATGGAGAAAACTGGACGATATTTTGATATGGATCCGGACAGGTGCGATCGCGGTGAAAAATAAATGAGAAAATTATGGGTGGACGTGAGTGTGACATCCGTGCGAGGTGTTTGTGCTAAATTTTAAACGAATTTCTGTGCTTCTTTTGAAATTTTGAAATAGGCAATTTTTTTGGTTATTTTACATGGTTTATTGGAAGGAAGGTTTTGCAGCTGAACTTGAGAAATACCGTTGATTGAATTTATTTTTCTTGTATTCGTGAATTTATTTCGTACGTTTCCTTTAAATTGATTAATTTGGAAGAGCTGGAAGTTTTATTTTATTTTGAAATTCGTGCTCGCGATAAGAATTTTAATTTCAATCGATTAAAATTTTCACGGGTATCGCCTTTCTCGTAAAACTTTTAGAAAAGAGTAATAGGAAAGAAGTTTCAAAGTTAGGTTATAGGAAATATATTTATAGGAGGAAGAATTAGGGTTTTATCGTGAGAAATTTGTATAATCATCTTATAACATCAAGTCATGCTTGTGATACGAATTATCGTTGCGATTTGAAGAGAAAATCAAATTTTGAATTTAAATTCTTCAAATTGAAATCTTTTAACTAATTGACGTTCCAATATTTTACATCTGACACGATATAACAAATGCTTCTCCGTGATTGAAAAAGGAATCATGAGGCAAGCGTAAATGAAAAGCATTTAGGGGGTCTAATTCATTTTTTTTTACAGAATTTTTGTTTCAATAACTCTTTGCAATATTCCAATATTTTTCATAAAATTTATATAAAGTATGGGAGAGAACGAAATAAAGATATTGAAAGGGTGAGTTCATTCTCAATGATCTCTTGATCAAGATTATATTTAGTCGTCTAATATGCAAATATAATACGTTTGTACATTGACGCAGGTTCACCTTGGAGAACATGTTCGCCATGGAGTTAGGAAAATATCAAGAAATAGCTCGAGAAATCGTGATGAATGCCGTGAAAGAGCTCGCCATAGAAAGAGGCTTGAAAGACTTGACTGAAGTCTGGAAAAACATGGAATTCACCGTGGTGAAACATTACAAAGGTAAGTGTTGACTCTCGATGTTGACACCGAGTATAAGAAACGAAACAAATAAAACAATGTTAATGTTGAATTAATTAAACAGTAACATGTACGAAAAATTTTGTAAATTCACAAACTTTTAGAGATTCAACTAACTTTTGACATGAATATCCTTATGAATATTTTTTACTATCTCTATATTACTGTAGTTTAATTACTTCCAAAAATTTCATAGACTTTTAACAATATATTTCTAAAAATTTAAATATTTAAACAAAAGCTTTTGTATTTTATTGTGTCAAAAACTTGCAATTTAATTTCTCTGCCACAGGTATTATGTCTTAATTGTAGTTAGCTTCAGTGTTACGGAATGAAATTTTTATTTTTCAGGTACCGAGGATCGAGGATTCATTTTGGGACCGATAGACGAGTTGAACCAGATCCTCGAGGACAATATGATGAACGTGAATGGCATGGCAGCCTCGCAGTTCATCGGCCCTTTTCTCAGCGCCGTGCAAAAATGGGAGATCACGATGCACACGATATCCGAGGTTCTCGAATTATGGATGCAACTACAGAAGAGATGGCTGTACCTCGAGGGTATCTTCGTGGGCGGTGACATAAGATACCAATTGCCAGACGAAGCGAAGAAGTTCGACGAAATTGATAAATCCTTTAAGAAACTTATGACAGACACGTCGAAGAGGCTGAACGTTCTCGAGTGTTGCACGATTAAAGGTAAACTAACGAGTTTCTCAAATGATTTACAAATCAATCAAGATTCCGTACTAAATTCAGATTGTGATTTTGAAACGAACTTTAGAAATGGTGAAATGTGTGTGTGTGTGTTTTTGGGGTATCTTTTTGCTTGAACAATGGTAAGATGAAACCAGCAGAACAAACTATTTATAAATACTTTTAACTGATATATTAATGTATAATATACATTATATAATATATATTATGTATAATATAACATATTATGTAACATATATTATATAACATATCAATTTTATCAATTATTTTTTGCTGCAATCACGCTATATTTGAAATAAATTGTATAAATTTTTGGTCCTCCGATTCTTCCGCAATGAAAGAATATACAACATATTTTAACACCTATAAAAATTATAATCAATAAATATCGATCGACAATCGTTTTATCTGAAATAAAAATATTCATCACTGTGACGATGCTCGAAGAAGCTAGTTCAAATCTATCTATCAATCTGAAATAAAAATTTTCTACCACTGAGACACACACAACAGCTTGAGAAAGCTAGCTTCAGATCGATGAAATCCGGTGATCCAGGTCGACGAGAGGAGTTCGAGTCGATGATCCGTGCACTGGACAAGTGCCAGAAGTCCCTGGCAGACTACTTGAACAGTAAACGAGCAGTTTTCCCGAGATTCACTTTCCTAAGCGACGACGAGCTGCTGAACATCCTTGGCAGCGGTGTGCCCGCCGCCATTCAAGAGCACGTGGGCAAGATGTTCGATAATTTGGACAGATTCCGGTTCGAAAAGAACGACACCGAACGCGTGATTGCCGCGGCGTTGATCTCGTGCGAGCAGGAGCTGATGGATTTCAGAAACGTAGTTTTGGCCGAGGGAAAGATCGAGGAGTGGATGGTGCTCGCTTTGGACGAGATGAAGAAATCGAACAGATTCCTGACGAAGAAAGCTGTCTACAATTATGGCAAAGTAGGTGCAATTCGGTCGAGTTTCGGAAGAAATCAAGAAATTAATTTTTGAAATCGGAATGTCGATGGAATTGATGTTGCAATCGATTGAAAGGGCTTGTTAATAGAATTCGTTAGACTTGGAGGAAATTAGAAATTCTAGTTTGAAAGAGATCATTAAAAGAATTCGGATAGATTTCAGAGGAAACTAGGAAATTGGAATATTAATAGAATATTAAACGGGATTAGTATTCTAGTTGAAAGAAATTGGATTTCGAAGGGAATTAAGAAATTTTTTTCAAATAAATGGAATGAAATTTTTCAGATCAGAAGATCCAGGACGAACTGGATGCTAGACTTTCAAGGGATGATGATCCTGGCGGCTGATCAAATATGGTGGACAGCAGAGGTGGAGAATGTGTTCGTGAAAATGTCTGAAGGGCAGATGCGTGCTATGAAAGACGTAAGCTTCTCTTTGAATTATTTACGTTGAAACTAACTAACGAAAATCCCTTCTTATTAAAAATTTCGTTCTCAGTATCTGAAGCAATTGAACAGCCGATTGAACGAAGTGGTGACGTTGATGGGTAGTGACATGTTGACGAATAACGATAGAAAGAAACTTGATATGGTATTGACGCTTGACGTTCATATGAAAGATATCGTAGAGGGTTTCGTTAGAGACAGCATTATGGATCCTGCGGAATTCGAGTGGGAAAGTCAATTAAGGTTCGTTTCTAAATGAAGATTTTTAATAGAAATCTCCGTATATTTAATATACTCGTGTAGTTTTAATACAAGTATTTCAGTTTGCTCGTTTACTTAATCTGTGATAACTTAATAACTCTTTTAATCCGATGAATCAACTAAAAATCGGTGACTTTAAGTAAGAATACTTTTTTAAATACTAATGTTATGATATGCCTTTTTATTAACATACTTAACCAAAGAAATGGAATCCATGGAACTTAAATAACTAAATAACTTAATAATAACCTATGCTTCATTAAATAACCTATACATAACTAAATACATAACTAAATAATTAAAAGACCTACATACATACGTAACTAAAGATTTATAAAGATTTATTTCATCCATAATCATAAAGTGTCAATTTCTTGACAAAGGTTTTATTGGGTCCACGATCTGGATAATCTTTGGATACACCAATGCACGGGAACGTTCGAATACGGCTACGAGTACATGGGACTCAACGGAAGACTCGTTGTTACACCTTTGACTGACAGAATATACCTGACTATTACACAAGCTCTATCAATGCATCTGGGTGGAGCTCCAGCAGGTATAATGATGAAAATCGTGAAAATGTGAAAACGAAAAAAAAAAATCGTATATCCATTTCTATATACAAATTTCTAATAGTAGAGATATTATCTCTAATAATAATAATATTTATAATGATAATTATCATTACTATTACTATTATTATTATTATTATTATTAAAGAAATATTGTATCTTTCAACCAAAAATGGTATAAATGGTATAAGTCAAACTGGAGACGCGTTGGACGTTGGAAATTATTTCGAAAAATGCAACGAACTCTGCGTGCAAGTTTATTTTTTATTTTACCAGGGCCAGCTGGAACCGGAAAGACAGAGACTACGAAAGACTTGGCAAAAGCATTAGGATTATTGTGCGTCGTCACAAATTGCGGCGAAGGGATGGATTACGTGGCGATAGGGAAGACACTGGGTGGCCTTGCACAGTGCGGAGTATGGGGTTGCTTCGACGAATTTAATCGCATCGATATTTCCGTGCTATCCGTCATTTCCACGCAGCTTCAAACAATACGCTCTGCTTTGATGGCGAAAGCGTCCAGATTCTTGGTATGAGAATATAAATAATAACGAACGTGTACCGAGAAAATTTTATTTCACTGAAATTTTCTTGAAATTTCTTTCTATTTTTTCTCAAGCACTTTTTTTTTTTTTTTTTTTTATTAAAATAAATTCAACGACCATTTGAACGATAATTTGCCAAATTTTCTATAAAAGAAAATTGGTAGCAAATGGCAAATTCAGCATCTTTTGCTAATTTAACAATTTTGCATCTTTTGTTCATTTAATAATTTTAATGACCGACCTCATCCACATTGATGTGCATTTGTGTTTCACGGTAGACACAATATCTCACTAGTTATTATAAAACACGATAAATCAAAAATATCTGTCACCTATCGTAATTTCATTACTATCATCAGCATTCTAAATTTTACATTTAAAGATGACACGTTACCGCTTTATTAACTTCTATTAATTATAAAAATTATCACGATAATATAATATTGTAAATTACTACATACATTCAAATTTAAATTTACTAATAAACTAAAATCTCTAATTGCATTTGAACGCCTTCGTTCGTGAACACCTTAGTTCGAGGGATACGACATAGTGCTTGACACGAAAGTGGGCATATTCATCACGATGAATCCGGGGTACGCCGGCCGAACGGAATTGCCGGAATCGGTGAAAGCCCTCTTCAGGCCAGTGGTCTGTGTAGTTCCGGATAACGAGCTGATTTGCCAGATAAAGTTGTTTAGCTCCGGCTTCTTGACCGCCAAGGCCCTGGCCAAGAAGATGACGGTCCTGTACAAATTGGCAAGCGAACAACTGAGCAAGCAGAACCACTACGACTTCGGTTTAAGAGCACTCAAGTCCGTGCTCAATATGGCCGGCCAGCTGAAGAGAACTTCCGGCGACCTGGCTGAGGACGTGGTGCTCATGAGGGCGCTGCGCGACATGAATTTACCGAAATTTATCTTCGACGACGTCCCCTTGTTCCTTGGACTTATCGCTGATCTCTTCCCGGACCTCGACTGCCCGCGGCTTCATTATCCCGATTTCAACGAGGCTGTTAATCAAGTACTGCACGAGCAACGATACACTGTTTTGTCTGTGCAGGTAATATTTCTCTGTTTTTTTTTTTTTTTTTTTTTTTTTTTTTTACTAAGAATATAAAATCCACTTTACAGAATTCAATTGAAGATTTCCGATATTTTTCGCGTTTGAAATAACATTGAGAAGTTTGAGCGAAATTTAATTACAATTTATTAAATTTGTAAACTTTACGATGTATTGAATGCTGGAGTATTTTGCGCAAAATAATTTACATATCTATTGTTGGGTAAATTATTAATAATTTATGTATTTACTGTTAACAGTTTACATTCTTAATTTATATTCAGAAGTAGCTTGAAAATAATAATTATACATTAAATTAAAAATATATATTATTTAGAAAAATTTACAGACATCTGTATTGTAATTAAACTTGTAATTAAGTTTCGTTTAAACGTTGAAAAATATTGAAATTGTAAGTGATCTTGAATCAGTGATTAGGAATTGTATATACATGTGTTGAACATAATTTTTTAAATGGAATTTTGCTAAAAGTTACCTTGAGCATATTGTACTACTAATTATTTGACTAACAAATATTTTCATACGACAGACTTCTGACTTTAACGAAAGTATTCCAACTTTTGTAGATAGATAAAGTAGTTCAATTGTACGAAGTAATGATGACTAGACACTCGACAATGGTGATTGGACCAACAGGAGGTGGAAAGACTGTCGTGATCGAAACTCTTTGCAAAGCTCAGACTCGTCTTAACAAACCTACCAAACTCTACATTTTGAATCCAAAGGTATATTTCTTCAATATAATTAACTGCTTAACACTCACGTGCTAACAGGATTTGTATAAATTTGTAAATCAAATTACGATAATTCGTAGTAATCGATATATTTAAACCTATGTTTTATTTTTGGTTCGTTTAATTTACTGTATTATTTATGTTAATTATTAATAACAGCATACATTCGAAGTAATTCAATCTTAAAAATAAAGAAAAGAGATATTTCAAGGGTTAAAGAATGCAAAATTGCAAAAGCAATATTGTCCCTTTAAATTTATTATTTTGCCAACATTATGCGTTCAGTAAATAATTTTTTACAGATTTCCAAGTAATTTTATATTTTCTAAAAAGTTAAAAATAACGAATTTTTAAGTCAATAAAATTCAACTTAGGCATGCACCGTGAATGAACTTTATGGAGTGTTGGATCCAATGACCCGCGACTGGACAGACGGTCTCCTGAGTAACATTTTTAGGGAAGTGAACAGACCATTAGAAGCGAATAAGGATGAAAAGAAATATATCTTGTTCGACGGTGACGTGGATCCACAATGGATTGAGAATATGAATTCCGTGATGGATGATAATAAATTATTGACTCTGGCCAATCAAGAAAGGATCAAGATGCAGAATCACTGTAGTCTGCTGTTTGAGGTGATTATAATTGATATTTATGAATTATTTAACAGTTCTTATTATATTAATCAAGGCTATCTTTGCTTGAATTTTATATATAATTTATTAATATTAAGTATATAATCTCTTGATAAATATTTAATAAGGGGTTCTAAATTAATTAATGAAAATTAAATATGGGAATTAAAATTAATGAGAAATAAAGTGCCAGCAATAGAGGTTAAACTTTGATTATAAGTTAATAATTAATAAAATTCTATTAACATTATTTTAAAATAAATTATTTTTAAATTATTAATTATAGGTGAAATTTTAATTAATAAATATAATATAATTTAAAATATAGAAAAATAAAAAAATTAGATAATAGACTAGGATTAGGTACCCTATTATTTTAATATATAAAAAAGTTTTTATCGTTAAATGTTAAATCATCTTAAATAATCTTTTTAGGGAAATTTGTTGTTTAATTTGATAATCCACGATGGGATATACTTAATATAATAATCGTTTAATTAAAAAGTAAATCAATAGACATCATTTTTATGCGACGAGCTTCCTTTTAATTTACAAAGAATTTGATATGATTCAAACTAACATAAAACGATTCTATAATTATTTATTACACGTGACTTAATAGGTGCTGATACATCACGAATATTTTCTAAATTGTCATAAAAGTACAAATTTCTGAATTTTGGTAAATCAGTTAGGAAAAGCTTTCAATATAATTCATAAATATATAAAATTATCTAACATTTGACATTTTTGACACAAAACCAATAAGAAGAAAATTGAAATTCGAATCCCAGATCTTAATAATTTATATCGATGACGATTTTCACGATAGCAATCTGCAGTCACGCCCAAAATTCATAAGAATAAAAAATAATCTACATGTTTTCCACAGAAAAATGTTAGCAATTTATTACCAACTCTGAAACCTTAAACTCGTGATTTTGTCAGATTTTGTATAATTATCTAAATTTCAAAAACAGTAGATTTATCTAATTATATCTTTTTCGAACAATATAACAATAAATTTAAGTAATTATCTGATTAACTCTCAATTAATATCTTATTAACTTGTAATTTATAATTTATAAATTAATCTATTCTTCTTACAATCTCAAATCGATCTCCACTCGAGTTTTTTTTTTTTCATGAAAGATAGGTGACTTGCAGTACGCTTCGCCAGCCACTGTGTCCAGAGCTGGCATGGTGTACGTGGACCCAAAGAACCTGGGCCACCAGCCTTACATGGACAAATGGATACAGAGTAAAAACAAATCGGACCAGGAGCCATTGCGCGGATTCTGCGAGAAATACGTGGACGGTGCTATAGCGCTCATTATAGAAGGAATGCTCGGGTTGCAGCAACTCAAACCGCTTAAGATGATCATACCGCAAACAAGGCTCAACATGGTAGCAATTAAATCTTTGTATGCTAATTAGTTGGTATTTTTGCGTGGATCTAGAGGAAGATCAGAGAGAAAGAATATTTTGCGGTCCAGACATTTAGGATTCGTCTCACTTGTGAGATACTTAAACTATGAATTTATACAGGGTTGGCCAAAACTTGGGGTTCTTCCCAACTATTTTTTTTTTTTTTTTTAATAAAACATCAAAATATAAAAAAAGACTAACTTTATTAATTTTAAACTAAATTTAAGTTCAAAAATTGGAAAAAATATATAATAAAAAAGTTAGTAGAAAATGATTTTGGCCCACCTTGTATTTTCATAAACTGAATTGAAGAGCAAGGTGAAGAAGCAGGGATATGTCACCAGATAATACTTTAGTTCGGCCAAAACTGTCGTTTACAAAATGAGGATTATAATTGAACATCCCAAAAAAACTTCCTACAGTTTTTCTATTTTACATTAACAACACGCAACATGTTCGCTCGGCTATTTCAAATTATGTCAGATATGCAGCAGAGGATTGTTAGCGAGAGAGTTTCTTGTTTAGGTAGTACAACTCTGTTACGTATTCGACGGTCTCCTCGCCGTTCTGAATTCTCAACTACCTCTTGCTGCCAAACTCGAGGAAAACGAAGAAATAAGGGCAGAGCCATTATTCGCCAGAGAGGAAGTTCTCGAGGCAATGTATATTCAAGCTTGCTACTGGTCCTTGGGAGCGTCACTAGTCAGCGAGCACAGGCCTAACTTCGACGATTATATAAAGAGAACTTCTGGATTCATGATGGTGCAGGATACTGCCGAGAAGCGAGCTACTGTGCGTGAGTTTCACGAAATGATTAAAAATAATTTTTTCATTTCTGTAAATGTCCGTTAACGATGGTTCTGTGCTCTGTGTTCAATTACAGTGACTCGATAGTGTTCGAACATTTGCCACGAAAGAATATTCTTGTATATAATATTGTACGTTCATATATTTCAGTTTCAACGTTTAAATAATTCGAACGTAGTTGACAAGTTTTTTTTAAATGTCGATTTTCTCGAGAACAAAGTCTTAAATCGAAAAATTTTATTCTTTCTTTCGATTTATTTTTGTACATAGCATGTAAAATCTCTGGCTGTATAAAAGACATCCTGATTTTAAGGACGCTTTGTATATCTAGTGAAGAATTATTTTTCTAAATATTACGTAATATATAAATATTCTTACAGAGATCTTGAAAGTTTTGAAAAAAATGAATATTTCATTATTTATTCCATTTAAATCTATTGGAATAAAAATTCAATGAAACTTTCTTCTCTATTTATTTTTGAATATAAAATCACGTTCTAGCCAATTGCTTACATGAAAATTACAAGATATTTACTATACTCTTTCCTGTTCTCGAAATGCTTGTTAAAAAAGATTCAGATCTATCGGCAAACGTTCGAACTTACTTGAACCCATCAGTAGTTGCAATTTAAACTTCTGAAATTATCGACAGGATACATTCCCGTGACGGAGAAGTTGCTGTACGATTATTTCTTGGACTTGGAGAAGAATATTTGGCTCCCATGGAAAGTGCTGGTCCCTGATTACGTTCACGACAGAAGGAAGAATTTCTCCGACATTTTGGTCCCTACTCTAGACACCCTTAGAACTACGTGGTTCGTTCAAATGATGAACGAACGAAACCGACCAGTTCTTTTAGTTGGCGAGACTGGCACCTCGAAAACCGCTATAATTCACGAGTTTCTCCGAAATCTGAGCACCGATAAATACGTGAGTTTTAGAATTTTTCATAAATTTAATACTGTAATGTAATTTAATATCAACCCTCTGCTAAATATAACCATTGTTTGTCACTATATTACTGCTACTATAATTATTGTTTACACTTTTTGTCGCGTCAGAGGGTTAAATTTGATACTAGGTATTAGCAGATTAGGTATTAATTTAACATTCAGATTATTTAGATTGTTTAGATTTGCTTAGGTGAAGCACTAATTTAATATCAGAGAGGTATATATATACTCTGACGTTATTTTTCGATTAGAATCAGCTCTTGATCAATTTCTCATCGAGAACAACTTCGATGGATGTGCAAAGAAATATAGAGGCTGTTGTAGAGAAGAGAACGAGAGAAATTTACGGACCACCACCTGGTAAAAAGTTGTTACTTTTCATCGATGACATGAATATGCCACTTGTGGACACTTATGGTACCCAGCAGCCCATAGCGCTTCTCAAGTTCTTGTTCGAAAGAGGTGGATTCTACGATCGTGGAAAGGATCTTTCTCTAATGTACATGAGAGATATGTGTAAGTACATTTGGAATTTTTCTTTTAAGTATATTAATTTTTTCTGATATCTAAAATTGAATACTTCATTTTTATATTTATGTTTCATATCTTTTTACATTCGACGTGTCCCCTTTTTTTTAATACCTGTAACGCGTGTTGCTTGAAACGTCTAATAGCGAGCAAAAATTTGGAATTATTTTTCTAATCGTAACTACATATATACAGTGACAAAAATTTATATCACAGTCAACTTATTTAATTTTCAATTATTAATTAAAGTATGTAAAAATTTGAAATCAATTATATGTGTGTTCATAATGTTTCAAAACACAAGAAATGTGTTGATATTAATTAATTGATATATATTATATATATAAATATAGATACAGAAAAATATTGAAATAATTTGTTCATAGTAAAATTAATTCAGAACTTTCAAATATCAGTGTGTATATGTCTTCATTTACTTGCTGAAGTTCTCGATGTACATATGTACTAGATTCAAATAATATTTTTCTATAACAAATTTTATATTGTTATTATTCTTATATTATTACATATATCATAACGAATTTATATTTTTATAACAATTATTGCTTTCCAAATCTCACAGTTTAAGTAAAAAGAAGAACTATAATGAATTATAATTATCTTCTTGTACAAACGAACAAAAGTTGCAAAGAATTTACTGTTTCTAAAGGTTACTTAGCAGCAATGGGAAGGCCTGGTGGAGGAAGAAACGAAGTAGATCCAAGATTCATCTCTATGTTCTCTGTCTACAACGTCGTATTCCCTGCAGACGAAACGCTGAATTATATTTGCACAAGCATACTGAGTGGACACTTGCAGATATTTTCGGAGGAGGTGCAAGCAATTGCAGAAACCCTGGTGCAAGTTACCCTGAGCCTCTATCAGGTATTTCTTCATTAACAAATAAGTGAAAGAAATTTAAATTTCTTCTTTCCTGAAAATGATTTCCTTAACAGGAATTAAATTTCTATTTCTTCAGAAAGTTGCCGCAGAATTATTACCAACGCCGAGTAAATTCCACTACGTCTTCAACATGCGAGATTTGTCGAGAATTACCGCTGGACTTCTTCAAAGCCACCCTGATTATCTTTCGAGTGTGAAACAGATCGTTAGACTTTGGAGGAACGAGTTCACCAGAATCATATGCGATCGTTTGATCAACGAAGAGGTATGTGTTAAAAGAAAAAAACAATCTCGAACGATCAAATTCAGTAAATTTTAACAAATTCTGGAAATTTCTTTCGGAAATTAAAATTTCACAAAATCCAAAAATTTGTTCGATTTAATTCATTTATAATATTAGTTAACTGATTCAAATTCAATTCTAACAAATCCGAAATATTCTAGTAAATTATAATTCTAGTAAATTATATTCCTGCTCAATTGCAGGATGAGAATATCGTGTTTGCATACATGAAGGAGAAGATTCAACAAACTTGGGAAGAAAAGCGTGAAGTCATAGAGTACGTAATGAGAGACCCTCTGTTGTTCGGTGATTTTAGAAACGCAATGAACGAAGGGGAATCACGATTTTACGAAGATTTGTTGGATTACGAAGCTGTCTACAGTTTGTTGTTGGAGGTAGTTAATATCCCATGGTGGAAAATAAAAATTCTAACCACTCACGGTCATTCAGTTGAATATTCTGAAATGATTTCAAATATCCTATATCACTTGCTAAAAAAGAAAAATATTAACATTATTAATAATTTCTTATTATCATTATTCTGTTATTACACAATGTTATTATATTATTTACTAATTATATTATCTAATATTATTAATATATACATATATAATTAATTAATTTAATATTTAATATCAATTGTAGCTACTTAAAATCTGGGAATTAACTTGACGTAAAATAATTTGTTGACGTTCTTGTAATGGAAAATTATTGTTATATGTATGTTGGAAGCGTTTGCAATTGCATTGCACTGCCTAACTCTATGGATATATAACTGTCAAGTTACACGATGTTGAAGATTAAATATTTCGCACAGAAACGATTTCTTGCACAGAAATTTTCTCTAAAAACAAGATAAAAAACCTATAAAGACTCATATTCTCATCCCATTTTTAATTGTAATATTATTTTCAACTCGAACTGAAGGTGAAAATAAATCAAATCACTCCACGTTTTACATAAAACTGGACCACAACAATAAAAAAAATTGTAAAATCTCTGCTTTCCGGAACTGCTATCTTTCAGATTTACGAAGACTATAACGAGAGGAACGTGACGAAATTGCACATGGTCTTCTTCAACGACGCGCTCGAGCATTTGACCAGAGTTCATCGGGCGTTCAGAATGCACAGGGGGCACGTTCTGGTGATCGGTATCGGCGGAAGTGGGAAGAAGTCGGTGATCAGATTAGCGTCGTACGCGGCGAATTTCCGAATTTTCGAAATCGCCTTGACTCGAGGCTACGGCGAAGCTTCGTTCCGCGACGACATGAGGACACTTTACAGCAAGGTGGGCGTGGAGAATCGGAGGATCGTGTTTCTATTCACTGGCGCTCACATCGTCGACGAAAGTTTTTTGGAATTGGTGAACAACATGTTGATAACCGGCGTCGTGCCGGCGTTGTTCAGCGACGAGGACAAGGACGAAATTGTCAACTCTTGCAGAAGTCAGGCTGTGGAAGCTGGTTTTGGTGTCACCAGGTTTGCCTTGCCAATTTTACTTACAAAACGATACCTTCAATAATTTCCGAAATGTTTAACAAAATATGTTTCACATCCTCAACTTTGAGAATAGTTTTCAAAATCGATCGTTGTCGATAAAAAGAAAAAAAAAAAAAAATATTTCAAATATTTTTTTGAAGAATACATTCACGCCAAAATTTCATCAAAATCGGCGATTCTGGGTTCGGTATGTTCCCTTGTTAGACGAATGAAATTCATTAAAGACAGAGTCAAGTGGAAAGTATGAAATAATAAAAGTTACGGGAATTGATTGGTCGAGTTTATATTAATACGATTTGTCGATAACATTAGCAATCGTGGATCTCGAATGTTGAATCCCAAAAATCTTGAGACTCGAAGGTCTTTAGTCTTAAAAAATCCTCGCAATCTTCAATATTGTGAACAACGATATTTGATAATTGTTCAGTGTTTTATAAGTATGTAATATGTACAAATGAATAACATATGGATACTGTATTTCCCGTATCTCGGACTTTCCAGATTTTTTTTTTTTTTTTAATATATCATATTAACGATAAGACATTGAAGATCCTTGTAAAATGTTAATTGTAAGTTTTTGACATTCATCAGGATTTGAAAGATTCAAAATTAATCAAAGCTTTCAAGGCTCAAGACTCAAAAGAATCTAAAAAATCTAAAGATTTATCGATGTTGGAAACGATTCATATCTATTGTTACGTTATTGAAAAATGTTGAATCATTTCAAAAGTGTGACATTTATTATTCGATATATATATATATCGAATAACTCCTAACTTCTCAATAATAAAAAGAACAACATTATTTTTATCTTATTATTGTATTGTATTCTTATCTTATTATGCAGGGAAAATGTATGGTCATATTTCGTGAAAACCAGCCTGCAAAATTTACGAATAGCACTGTCGATGAGTCCGTCGGGAGATTTATTGAGGACAAGATGTCGGAGTTATCCTGGTCTGGTGAACAGTACCACCATAGATTGGATGCTCCCTTGGCCCGAACAAGCTTTGGTCTCCGTGGCCAATGTTACTCTTAGAGACGTATGCGATTGTTTATCTTTCTTGTTTTTAATTTTCATTTTTATGCTCCATTACTTCTTCTCCTTACTCTTTAACCCTCAAGTGGATTTTCAATTTCTAATTTAATAGTTACAGTCATGTTCAATTTATAGTAAACTGGTGGATGGAAATAGAATTTCCCCCTGCATCGTTAGAAACGTAATGAAACATTGGAGAATCATATAAATCTTCAAATAAGATTATCAATTCGCAATTACAGAGGGCTGCAACTAAAGTCCCGATAGATCATTTAAAAATTAAATAGTTATCTTGAAGTCAATTTTCATATTAACTTTACTCTGACAGAGATTGGTAATAGAATTCAACGAAAATTTCCAAAATTAAGTAACATATAGAGTATGTTATTAATGTAAAATATAAAAGTTTAATTAATTACGATTGAAGATTATGTGAGTTACAACGAATTGGATACACATATAATGGGCAAAACTCTCTTAACACAGCAACATTGTCGACTTCACTCTCCTTTTCAACACTGATCCTTTTTCAACAAGGAGAATCCTCGCTAGTCTTTTTTCTTCCCTTCTCTCACACCCCTGTAAATATCGACCTATCAGATTGGGTCTGGTTTTCGTCCGTCAGTGGTTTTATTGTCTTCTTCCTGTCCTTAGAAATATTACTCCTCATGAAATATTATTCTTATACCTATTCCTATACAGTAAGGTTTCTTAAAACTATGACACTAGATATAAATACTACTATATGTTGGTCATGGATGACTATAACGATTCCTTTAGAGAATTTGATTTTATTTTGCATTGTTAGATTACTGTATTTCATATTCTTCGTAATTGAACTCGATAACAAAGTCCTCGGTCATATAAGAGTTTTATTCAAGTCATACTCATATCCAAATCCAATATGAAATTTTTTTTCAGGATCCAAACATACCACAAGCTCACAGAGACGCTCTGGTAGAGCACATGGTGTTTACTCATAAAACTGTTTGCGATTATACAGTGGAATTCCAGACGAAACTACGGAGGAGGAACTACGTGACACCTAAACATTATCTAGACTTCATAAACAATTACCTGCACCTCCTAGTGGAGACAAAACATTACATAAATTCACAATGTGACCGACTTTCCGGAGGTTTGTAATGTTGTTAGATTAAGTTTATATTAAGATATTTGATATATTGATAATTATATTTATAGTATAGTTCACAGAGATTATTATAACGGTAAAAATTCATTATTTGAATCTTGGATCTTAATCCATCAAAGATCAGAAATTTATCAATTTTATACGATTATAAACTCTGGAAGAAAGTGAAAGAAGTAGATAGAAAGAAGAAATAATAGTGAAAAAGATACTGAACAAAAAGTAGATTTAACAACGTGAAATAATTGAGAAAGAATAGCGAGTGAAATATTGTGTTTAATATTTTTTCGTTAGTAACGTGAGAAAGTAAAAATAGTCGAAAGATACAAGTTATTTTCATGTTAAAATCGAAGCTAAAACTTAATTCGTGCATTTTTCAATTTTTAGAGGCATAATAGAGCCTGAATAGAAGTTTGTTTTATCTACTTTGTATTATTACACAAAATGTGTATATTTTCGCAACTTTCAATTTCCCATAAATGCACAAAAACCTGCAGTCTGCTAGTTACAATTACATCGTGGAATATTCCCAAAAGAATTTTGAAGTAAAATTTTCATTGCAGTTAAAAGTGTAAGATTACACGATATATGAAATAAATCAGAAAGCACGATGGTACTTGAACTTGTTTAAAAATCCTCAGTTGCGACGAAGGATAAAACTGTATCACATTAATTGTTAAAGGGCTGCAGAAGATTGCGGAGGCCTCGGTAACTCTGAACGAGTTGAATAAGATTCTAGCCGTGCAACGGGTAAAAGTGGCTGATCAAACGAGGAATTGCGAGCAATTATTGGCCTCCATAGGAGAAAGTACGGATATTGCGATGGAGAAGAAACAGTTGAGCGAGCAGGAGAGGCAGACGATAGAAGAACAGAGGAAGATTATCAACAAAGAGGAAACGGAAGCGAAACAGGCGTTAGCCGAGGCGCAACCTGTTCTAGATCTAGCCAGAGAAGCCCTTGGCGAACTCGAAAAAGCAGACATCACCGAAATAAGGTTCGCCAATATTTCCTTTTCGACCCGTAAAATAAATAAAAAATCCACGCAACAGAAGGTTGACTTTTTTTAAATCATCAAGCTTGACTTTTTTTTTTTTAATATCATTCACACACCATTCGCGTATTTCTATTATAAAATTGTTGGACTTGAGTTTTTTTTCGAATCAAGAGATTTAAGCAAACGCATGCAGTAGTAAAAAATCTAATTTCCTTCGGGGAAAATATCACTCTCGCAATTTTACGTAACGCTTTTATTGGGGAAAAATTCAATTCCTTACACATGTACAGTGAAGTGGGATTAGCCGAATCACTTTAGCTTCGATGAGTTGAAAGTGAGCCTCTTGCTCCACGCGGAATAACATTGAAAGGTGTGAGAAGTAAATAACTTTACGGAATTACAAGGCAAATCAATTTGCTTGAAATGAATCCTGTCTTATCCTATTCAGAAAAATATCGTTCTAAAATTATACGAAATATTAAATATATAAAAATACGAGGATGCACTGATGTACTTTTAGATCATTGATCAATTTTCCATCGTGGTTGTGGAATTTTGACTGCTTGAAATATTGAGAAAAAATGTTAAATAAATTAACATAAAAATATTAAATAATTTAATTATTAATTAATATAAAAATGACTTACTATAAGAACATTAAATATATATAAATGTAAAAAGTATCAAAGATACTAAAAAGATTTTTAGATCTGTCGCGATTTTTCATTCTTAACGAGAAAAGACAATCTGTCGTGGAACTTGGTGTATTAAGAAAAATATGTGAAAAATATTTCTAGATCGTTCGCGACTCCACCGGAACCGGTGCAGATCGTCTCAGAATGCGTGGCAATGCTGCGAGGTGTCAAAGACATTTCTTGGAAAGGTGCAAAAGGAATGATGAGCGATCCAGGATTCTTACGATCGCTACAAGAAATGAACTGCGACAAGATCACGTTGAAAACGCAACAAGCAGTGAAAGCTCATTTGAAGAAAACCACGAAGCTGGATCAGATGCAGTCCATCAGCAAGGCTGGATATGGACTATACAAATTCGTATTGGCTGTGTTGGACTACTGTGCCGTTTTTAGAGAGGTAGATATTTTCAATCGATCGACTAAACTTAATTTTAACGCGACGTCGAAGCTAAGTAAAATTCAGCAACTTGAAAACTAGAATTAATGTTCGTCGAATGATAAATCAATCTTCATCGTTCGAGATTTTAATCAGGAACAAAGTAAATTTCTACAAATTAGAATTAGAATCGGAATCAGCAAACGATATAAATTTCCTAATGCTTGAAACTTTGATTCCAATTTAACTTCAAACCAGATCCTTTTGATCGTGAA